ACTGAAAAGTTGAAGCGGTGATAACCTAGTAGTAGTGATATGCCTTATAGCCATATTGTGGCTTTAAACACCTTTTCCCCAGTTAAAAAGAAAAATCTGGGTCTGTTTAAAAAAATGACTGGTTCAAGATATAGGGCAAGAAATGAATAAGACAGGCGCCAAACATTTTGTGCTTGAAAGCAAGGAAGTTATCAGCTTCCTCTTTTGACAAATAGACATAAGAGCTAATTTAAAGGTGCTTCACAAGCCAAAAATGGGACCAATTAAGCATCAAAATGAATAATGACTGCAAATTTGTTAAAACATCAAATATATAAAATCTGTAAATTCATAATATTGCAAAAATCCTTCATTGGTCACCGTTGGAGGTTGCCTAGAAATCAACTAGTAACTCTGGAAGTATTTCATGGCAATTTTATTCAAAAGCTAGAAATAACCCAACTGTGCATCAGCAGAAGAATGGACAAATTGGTATAGTCATACAATGAAATGCTTAGTCACAATAAAAAGAAATAAAATAGTGATCACAACAAAATGGATGAGTCTCAGAAACACACTTAAATGAGAGGAGCCTTATATACTAATGGTTCTATGTATATCAAGTTATAATGCAAACAAACAGTGAAAAAAGTAACAGAATAGTGGTTTGTACTGGAGTCATGACAGCAGAGATTAAACGAGAAGTGGACAAGGAAGGTTTCTGGGATAGAGGTAATGTGTTGATTAGGATTTCAGTTACACAGATATGTGCAAGTTGTTAGAATTCTCTAGTGGTACTCTCAAGATCTGTGCATTTCTCTGTATGTAAGTTTTACCTTAAACATAGTTTTAAGCAAACTTTAAATTCTTATAACATGTATGCCATCTTAAAAAAGGAATGATGGTTGGATAGTGTGATGTATAGATACATATTTGATAAAGCAAATATAGCAATGGCAAAATGATGTTGTAGAATCTATGGAGTGAATGTATGGGTTTTTATTGTACATTCAATTAAAATTTCTGTTTGATTGTTCTCATAATAAAGTATTGGGGGAAGCGTACATTTTAAAAATGTGATCAAATTTTATTGATTTGCCATTCATTTACTAATTTATGGAGCTAAACATCAATGGCTGCTAAGTGAACAGCAAACTTAATAACTAATAGTCTTGTCAGTCATTAAAAGTAGGCAAATCAGACCCTACCTGGTGGCTCAGCGGGTTAGAGCACAGCACTGGGAAGCTAAAGCAACTTCCGCATGAGTTTGATTCCGGCCTGCCCCAGCCCGGAGGAGACCACATGGTGTGGCAGACCTTTCCTGACCGGAGGAGACCACATGGTGTGGCAGACCTCTCCTGACCCACCCGCTGCTCCCCTCAGCAGTGTACTTCGTAGATCTGCCTGTTCTGCTCCCCACTCTGTCTCTGGAGAAGCCTCTCGCTGCCCCTGAGCCTCTGGCCTGTACCCCAGTTCTGTATGCATAAATAAATAAATCTTTTTTAAAAAAAAGTAGGCAAATCAGACATGTTCTTTCTGATTTGATACAATAGATACAACACCTAGGAGATGCTATGACCAAAAAAATTAAAATTGAATTTAAATTTGATCAAGTTTCTAATCTATCAATTTATAGGAAATGGAATTAAGGAACATATTAGTGACACCAGGTATCTACCATTAGCCAAATTCAGATTGTAGGGAATTCTACAGAGTAAATTGCCTATATCTTAGTAAATCCATGGCACGAACATTTTTAAAAAGTGCCAGGAGATATATCACAGAATAAGAGAAAAAAAAAGACATAAAGCCATCAACTGCAATGTGTGAACCTTGAATACCATCTTGGACAAAAATTTTTTAAATATCCTTCCTTGACTTTACTATTTTAGCTACATCCCAATTTCTCTCTTTCTACGGTGGTACATTTTGGAAAATACCTGATAGTGTCTTCACCTATCTTTTCATTCTCTTTTCAACCTGTTCCAATGAGGATTTTTGTCTCTGTCATTCCACCGAAACTGTTCTTTTCAAGAGGAACTGTCTCCGTGTTGCCACATCTAATGGTCAGGTCTGAAATGACTTCTCAGTGGCTTTTGAACACTGTTAATGATGTCTTCTTGAAGACAAAAAAATGTCTTTACTTGGCTTCAGAGCACCAACGTCCTCTGCTTTTCCTCCTGCTTTACTGTCTTGTTTGTTGAACTGTTCTTATTTCCTGACTTCAAATATTGGTGTACACCAGGTATCAGTCCTTCAGCATCTTCCCTTTATCTGTAATTACTCCCTGAGTGATCTCACTCATTACCTTGGCTATAAACATCACAGTTATGCTGTTGATTGCAAGTTATATCTCTCATCCCAGCCTTTCTTCTGATCTTATAAGACCTCACACTCAATTTGTGACCAAATTATTGATCCTTCTTACAGACTTCTTCCCCAGTGTTCCCAATTTCAGTAACCAGCATCTTCATCTTCATCAGTTTCTGGAACAAGAATCTAGTTACCATGTTTATCTCTTTCTCTCAGACCCATATCCAGCAGCAATTCCTGCTAGCTTTATCTTCAGAACATACCTTGAATTGGACCACTTCTCACCATTTCTGCTTGTGTCACTCTAACCTAGTCCAGGTCACCACCTACAGAAGCCTCCTAGATAGTCTCCTTTCTTCTACTCTAATGCCCCTGAAATTTCCTTACAGAGCACTGGAAGTGATCCTTTCAAAACCTGAAATCAAGGGCCCTCCCTGATGGCACAGCATGTTAAAGCACAGCACTGTGAAGCTGTCCACAGCCACTGTACCATGAGTTCTATCCCCTGCCAGGGAGGTGACCCTCATGGTGCAGCAAACCTCTCCTGACCCGCCCACTGCTTCCCTCAGCAGTGTACTTCATCTGTCTGCCTGTTCTGCTCCCCATTATGTCTCTGGTGAATCCTCTTACCCCCTGCACCTGCCGAGGGGAACAGGGGGTGAGACAGAAGAGGTCTGCTACGTCAGGTTGATCACTTCCGGGGTCAGGATTCGAACTCGCACTGAAGCAGCTGCAGCTAGCCTGCAGTGCTGCACTTTAACCCACTGCGACACCAGAGAGGGCCCTATTCTCTATCTTAAGTTCAAATTTTATTACTTGTCTCACTTTAGGATTTATTGAAAATGCATCTTCATTTTTACTCAGTTCAGTCTGAATCCAAGCTGATATTAATTACATAAATCTCAGTGTAACATTAACTTAAGCATAAACTTTAAAGGGCTTGGGATTCTGATGTAAGCATCTGCTCCTTCCTAATGTGACAAAAACACTGTCCAAGTGACCCTGTCTAGGTTATGTTTGCATTTTCTTCTCTATCATGCTTATCCTTTCTAGGCTTTTCCATTTACTGTGCTTCATGCTAAAATCGTGACAGGATTTCTTCAGGTCTTTGCCATCAGTCTCTATTTGAACCAATTGAAAGTTCTTACTAAGAACAAACATTATTCATTGGTTTCTAAGAAATTTTCTTACTTTCCCATAGAAATTGGCTTTCTCTCTCAATTACATACACCATACACACACTATATTTGAGGGATTATCTTTGTGCTAGAATCTGTTGTAAATACCTTCCAATGTCTTTGGACAAAAATAGTAACTTCCAAAGTAGCCCCCCTAATGTTTCCATTAGGTGGAGTAAAGATTTCCCTGAGTTTTTGTGTATCATCATCAAATATGTATCTGGGAACTCCAGAACAGGTTTTTTTCATGACTACTATCAAGTAAGCAAAACCTGAACTAAAAATGTGCCTGCCATCTTATGAATGAGAAAAATAAGAGAATAAAAAATACTTTATTTTCAATGCCTAAAGAGGCTCACCTTTTTGTACTAACCCACATTTTTTAAAGATTTGTTTTATTTATTTATGCATACAGGATCTGGAGTACAGGCCAGAGGTGGTGGGGTGTGTGTGTGTGAGAAGATTCACCAGAGACAGAATGGGGAGCACAACAGTCAGACTGACTGAAGTACACTGCTGAGGGGAGCAGCGGGTGAGACAGGAGAGGTCTGCTGCTCCCTATGGACTAGCTCCCTGGCAAGGGATCAACCTCATGCTGCAGTGGCTGCCAGTAGCTTCATAGTGCTGAGATTTAACCCCTTGTGCCACCAGGGAGGACCTAACCCCTATTTTAAAAGCAATTCATGTGTAATATCAGTCATATTAGGAGGCATAGTATTTGAGTAAAAACCGAAGGACCCCACAATAAATCATTTCCTGACATCAGCCTTGAGGAGGTCCCAGCAAAACACAAATGTAGAGGCTGAAGTTCAACAAAGAAATTCTCATTGTGGCAAGAAATTCTCATTGTGGCACATGATGCTTAGGAAGCCCTGGTCTAGCAGCTACCCCTCAGGAAGGATATCCTTGCCAAGCAACCAGCAAATTGTCTCTTTCCCCCTTTCATCCTACTCCCAGAGAGAAGAGCCAGTCCAGAGAAAAGATGAGCACAGAGAGGGCATTGAATTCCCTAGGAGCAAGGATCCATTCAAGTCACCAAATCTGACTCTAATTCTTATTTAGAGTTGGAATGAATTAAATAAAGAAAGAGGTTGGTGGGAGGGTGAATAAAGAAAGAACCATCAGCATCCCAAAGGGCCAAGATTCAGTGGCTCTATAGGAGGAATCAGAGATTTCCAGAAGCATGGAAGGAGAATATGAAAAGTAGATTTTTTCCTTAAAGCAAAAATAGACTGTTACTGAAAGCAAAAGAATATTGCTTGAAGAAGCAGAGAGTATCTGTCTTTTAAAAAATCCATGTTTCTTGGGTAATTCTAAGCACTATACCCTAATCTGGGAAGCAAAAAATTCCTGGAAAATACTAGGTAGGAAAGGTAAGTCTTCAGAGAAGCCAGCCAGAAATGAAAGTAAGACAAATAATTCCAGAATTTTAAATGTGTTATTGTATTGTCCTATTATTTGTTTTTATGTGTAAGTGGAATTGTCTTCAATGAATTCTTACCTCTGGTTTGTTGTTTATTTTTCTTTCAGCCCCACTGTGTTCTCCTGGCCTCAAAGGAAAACTCGGCACCTGTTAAACTAGGGGGCTTTGGGGTTGCTATTCAATTAGGAGAGTCTGGACTTGTCGCTGGAGGTAAGACCATGCTTTAAAAACATATTCTTTAGTTACCTGTTCACTTTTAGGCTGGTATAATAAAATTTTCAAACTAAATATTAGCCCCTCCGTAGTATTTTATGCCCTATTCCACACTCCCCCAAAATGCCATAAAACAGTTTCCAGTTTTATACTTCTGCAGTTATAACTCGAGTTTTAGCCCTTAAGACTAGACCTTACTTTTGCTCTTTGTACCTTCCACGTGTAAAAGAGAAGAGATCCTTCATACAAAGGTTGAAACAGTGTCTGAAGATGATATTTGAGATAAAGTGACTTTTAAATTTGAAGTTGTCAAATGAAGTCAGGTCTAAAATATATGACTAATAATCACTTTCAGGTTCACCTCTATGCCTCAGTTTTAATTTCATACTGTTTTACTTTTTTCATTTGTCAAAAAATCCCGCTCAAGCTATCAATCTGTATTTAGGAAGAGCAAGCACATGTGCATATGGACTGATTTTATTATTAGCTGAAGCAAAACATAGTTAGAACTTCCCCATACCAGAAAAAAGAAGAAAAATACAAACGTTCTTCACCAGTATGCAGAGGTAAATGCTAATTACATTACAGAGTCAAGTATTTGGTTTTTTCTCACTTATTCCTTTTAATAGACTCCAGCTCAGAATACAGCCCAGTTTTTCATTCTGTTCCTTAGTTTTGTTACAGGGCAACCCCCATGTAAATTGGGTTGCCTAACCGGGTCCTCCACGTGCTTAAAAGGGACTTATAATAAAATTTAACTGCAGGCACACACAAAAAGGTTAATAATGGGTTTATTTATACAAGGGAAAGGGAAAATTAATAATTCAGGGAAAAGCGAGAGAAAGGTTGATTAATGCGCCCTACCAGTTCCGCTGACCTGGAATCTCCAATAGCACGCTGAATGCCATTGAAAAGCCAAGAGCTCAGCCGCAAGCCACGTAAGCCATGAGGCCAAGAGACCCACAAAGCCCACATGTCCAGCTTTATATCAAACGAGATGGCTTCTTAACCCCTCCCTCGGGTCCTAGCAGTACTCCCTTTGGTGATGCTGGGATTTGGAGTTCTGATGTCTGTAGTGGGGGTGGAGTGTAGGAAGCCTATATCTGTAGAGTTCATTTAGGACATCCTTTCCCTCAACTGTCTTGCAGATGACTTAATTCTCCATTCTATCCATTACCTTTTTTCATCTCCAAATAGCCGCCAGCCTTCAAAAAAAAGTAATAGTATCAACAGAACCTCTTAAAACCTGCCGTTTTTCAAGTATGACTTTATTAATTCAAACACCTAAAGAGTGATAACTATCAAAATAATCATCTGTTACACTGGCCATGATTTAGTTTAATTCACTATTACTAAAACATCAAAGTAATAGTAACACAGACTACCCATTGAAAAACAAACCATAGGTCATAGTCATAGTTATCAAACTGTCCTTTCACCACAGTTTTATTTTCTGTAAGAAAACTTTTCATCTGTAATTAGAAGGTTGACTGAAGGAGGCTCAGGCAGGCAAGTAGACTATCACAGGTTCTGAAAAAGGCTTAACTTCTTCCGTCTTGTAACTAATGACTGAATTCTCTCATAAAATTCTCAGCAAAAGGTTGATCTCTAGTTTAATTCCTGAGATAGCAAAGAATTCACTATGTTACAGGACAATTCATTCCATTTTTAGAAAGCTCCTTAAGTACGTTCATCTTTGCATTGAACAGAACTCTAACTGCTTTAACTTAACAGCGGTCCAAACTGTAATTATGAAGCCACACTGAATTATCTCAACCCTTCCACATAATAGCCATTCAGATGTTTGAAGACAACTATCAAGTCCCCTGGAGTGTAGCCATATCAATTTCCCTAGGTTATTCTAGCCACGCCTTATATAACCTGGCTCAGAATCTCACTATACACACGGTATGGAGCCAGAACGGACAATTTAGAGATGGAGACAGCTGACAGGCACCACACATAGGATTTGGGGCTCTAGCTTCTTTGGCTATAGGTCTTACATTTCCATCTGGCTCTCCTGGCTACAGTAGCTTTTTGGACAACCATGTAACACTGCTGGCTTCTATGACTCTTAAATCAATTTCAAATCGTTAAATTGCTCTTGTTTTTAAATAAATGTCCCCATTCAAATAACACTCTCAGAGCCAATGTTTGCACAGATGACCCCTGTGCTAAGACTATACAGTTATAACAAATAATTTCTGAGGATTACATCCGAGGGTTGAAGAGATTAAATGAAAAAAAAAAAACTTTTTATATGTTATCCACTTAGTTTCCTTCATCATTTTCAAAATGGCAAGGATGTCATATCTCCACATATCTTCATTGAAGGGGAAAAATAGATTCATTAGATTTACCTGGACTTTTCCTGCATTTTAATCTGTTTCCTAAAAGTCTACAGACCTTTCCCCTAAACTGTATTTTTTTTAAAGATTTATATATTTGTATAGAACTGGGGTACAGGCCAGAGGCTTAGGGGCAGCGAGAGGCTTCACCAGACACAGAGTGAGGAGCAGAACAGGCAGATCTACGAAGTACACTGCTGAGGGGAGCAGCAGGCGGGTCAGGAGAGGTCTGCCATGCCATGTGGTCACCTCCGGGGCAGGTGGGAATCGAACTCATGCGGAAGTGGCTTTAGCTTCTCAGTGCTGTGCTTTAACCCACTGTGCCACCAGGGAGGGCCATAAACTGTGTATTTTTAAGGCTGATTTTGAACCCACACTGTATCAGTTATGCAGAATTTATTTTTCCCAATGCTTCTACAATCAAATACTTTCTAATGGTCAAAATATTGTCATTTCTTAAGTACCTTTTCTTGCCATTTTGAAATAACTACTTGAAGCCTTGCAATATCTTCAAAAATACAGTATCTATAGATAAGGTATAAATAATTCTCATAAAAAAAACTTCATGTTATTTGAAGTATTTTTTAAAATTTTGCTCATATCTATCAGCTAACTTGCTAATATTTGACAGAATTTTCCCATTAGTTGGAGCCTTTGATCAATCAATCTTTCAAACAAAATGGAATTCTCTATATATAAAAAAGACCAGTTATATGTATTTCCACTTTACCCTCTCTGAAACTCAGCTGTTTGGAAAACTTACTTATCCAGAAGGTTATTAGGAACCTAAAAATTAAAACTTTAGATACTTGCGTTCCACCATACCTTGCCCCTGCTGTTTTCTCTGGTTGGAATACCTTTTGTCTCTCTCTATAGAAAAAGATGGATATGTGTATCAATTACTGTTCATGAAGGCAAGCTATTAATAGTCATCAGTAAAAAGCAGGCTGGTATTCATCAGTCCAAGTTAAGTAACCCTAGACCTTTTCTTCTATATTGACCATAACCATGGGGGCAGCATACCTCTGTGTAGCATTGATGCAGGGATTTGTAACCAGTCTGAGCCTGTGAGGGCAGTGGGGGATGTTGGCTTATCCCTTCGTGTGTCCATAGCATCTACTGTGGTGTCTCGGTCTTAGTAGGCACCTAAGAAATTGTTACTAAATGAAGTGTCTCATTGTTAATCACTTTCCAGTTAATAGCAGATTTTTATGCAACAGACTAGGAAAAGCTGAAGCTGGGATAAGTGTAGTGAAGGAAAACAAACAAAAGTCTGACTGGAAAAAATATATTAAACAGATGCCAAAACTTGGAAAAACACAATGCCCTTTTGTTTAATACTGAAGAAATAACCCTTGCATACTTCTGAAGTTCCTTGAGGGTATTTTCTCATCGGTTGCATAGTTCTTTCATTCATATCCTCAATGACAACTCTGAGTCATCAAGAAAAGGTTAAATTATGTGCTTCATCTTGTGTAAAAGAAGCCAGGAAATTATAGAAAGGTACTCTCCAAAATTATTACAGTAAAAAGTCTTCAGTGCATAAAGCTCCAAGTCTTGAAGTATTGACTGTCTAACTGCTCAGAGAAACTCCCTCCCTGAGGTTCTAGGTAATGAGATTTTATTGTATTGACAACACATTAGCATTTAAATATATAAATGTTTATCAGAAATATCTCATACGCAGTGACATTTAATTTGGTTTGGTAGCTGGCTTCCTGTTCTTAGAATTTTGTGGTCAGCCAAAAATCAAGTGATCACAAACAAGGACTTTGGAGAGGTCATTGTATGTTAAAGGTTAACTGCACACCTTTCAGAGTCTACTGATTTGCATGAAACACAAGGATCATCCTTACCTACTCTTTCTGCTGTGATCCCCTATCATCCATTAGCAACTTCCTAAACCAAAAGACATGCGTCTTCCTCAAGGATGAAAACTGAATCTCCAGAACGGGGTAGTCTTCAATCCAGATGAATGGAGAGATACTCCTCCAGATGACTGGGGCTACTCGTGGCTCTGAGCATTCCCAAAGTGAGGCACTTGTTTTGAGTTACTTGGCTCTTTCTTGTGTGAGAAGTGAAAGAGTCAAGTTGAGTTTCAAAGTATCACCCAAAACATTAGTAGGTATACCTGAATGCTACCCTGACCCCTAACCTACTACCAACTCCTGTTCATCAGAAGCTGTTCAATTATCTTACCCTGTCCAAGCTGTTAGTGAAGTAGGAGACTTCGCTCCCATGGCATAGAGTTTTGGTGTTACTTGAGGAAGCAAAATGGGAAATATGGAAATGAAAATACTTTTAACCAGTACAGGTTTTTCACCGACCCACTGTACATTTCAAATGAATATATCTTCATTCTCTGAACCCCAAATTTAATCTCCTCTATTGTGGAGGAAGGGGGAACCTTAATGATCTGTAGCAAAGGCACATCCCCAAGTGCACAAGCTAAGAACTCTTATCTTTCTCCACCCCAGCAGAGTTTGACAATCACTAACAGGACTTTATGACGTATTCTCTCTAGCTAGATTAGCAGATCTCTACGTTCTTTATTTTTTAACTCTGAACCACAGTTTTGAGCTCTAGATAAAGTGTTCCATAATTTTCAAAGTGGAAGTTAACTTGGGCTAGTACTTTGTGAGAGTGAGGGAGGGAAGGGGAGAGGAAAGGAGAAGACTAGGTCCACAGTGAGAAGAGCTGCCAAGTCTGGTGGGCAGTGCCACTCCCACAATAATTTTCCTACGGAGGCCAAAGCTTTCTACAGGAAAAGATAGACTCTCTTCAGGGTACTGAGGTAAAAATGATGAATAACATAAAACTGCTATTGAAAGGCTAGTTCAGAAAAGGGGGTAAGAGAACACTGAAGAAAACAGAGGTCAAAGAGGGTTGAATGGAAGAACTTGATGATTTTGCTTTCAATTGTCATATATTTGTTCTCATTCTCTTTAAATGTTAACGTTCAGAGGAAGTTAAAAATACATCCTACTTTAACAAAGTAGTGGTAGTCGTTGTTAGTTGCTACAATCACCTAATATCAACTGCACAGATTTCAGGTTCATATTCCAAATAAATGTCCATAGCTAATTTCATAGGAGAATTTTCATTTGGCAGAAAAAAGTAACTTTTCTCTGCACAGATTTTTTGCCCCTCACTTATGTGTCCTACCCTGTCCCTCCCCAGGGCAGACGCTCTCAACTCTTTCCTGAGTAGCTACAGATTGTCTGTGGTCTCTTCTGCCACCCTCTACAATATCTTTGTAGTGGTTTTCAGACATGTGAAAATTAAAAAATGTAAATGACTTCTTCATGAAGCAAGAAATGGGTAAATGTCATGTGTCCTGCTGAAATCATTGAGGAGTAGCAGTGTTAGAAGAAAATGTACCTATCCTGAGCTCAATATTTTTACCAGGTGATCAGGTAGTTTTTTCCTTCTGGGAACTTGATTTCATGTAGGAGGGCAGTGAGAGATGGTGAGAGAATATTTCTGTTGTTAACTTTTTCACTCACATTGTTATTGTTCTACTATTTTCAGTTTTTAGGAGGGAGCAAAGCCCATTTTATGTAAACATTTTTCCTTAATGATGTTGTTATTGTTTTCAATGTAGGACGAGTTGGAACACCTCATTTTATGGCCCCAGAAGTTGTGAAAAGAGAGCCTTATGGGAAACCTGTAGATGTCTGGGGTTGTGGCGTGATCCTTTTTATCCTGCTAAGTGGTTGTCTGCCTTTTTATGGAACCAAGGAAAGATTGTTTGAAGGCATTATTAAAGGAAAATATAAGGTAATGTATTATGAATGGTTTATATTTCCATTGAGATTAAATGATTCTGGAAAATGTTTTTGAAGTCACTGTCTTTGGGTTGATTACCATGTAGTGACCTGTTCAGAAAAATACTCTTTGCTGATATCATTGACCCATGTGAGCCCTTGCTAGACAACATAAGCCTCAAGTAAATTTCTAATTCTCCATGAGCTAAACTGTCATTGAGGTGGAAGAAAAGAGACTGGCTTTAAAGCATCTGTCACTTTGCTGCTCCCTTCTCTCTGTGGATACCACTACTTTGCATTGTGACTCTATTTAGTCTAGAAAACGGGTTGCAGTATAAATCCAGAAACCAGATGTATTTGCTCTGCTGCTTCCACAAGCAAATCCACAGATGAGTCCTGCACCCGCACATTCAGAAAGCCATGCTACAAGTCAGATTCTTTGACCATAAGTATACTCTAACATAACTGCCCACTTAGCTAGGTCAGAGAAATTGTTTGGCTAACTCCCCACTTGGAAAGATGTTTGGAACTTATTGTGATAGAACTTTACCTTTAATTTTGTTTTTGAACTTTACCTTAATTTTAAGGGTAACCTGGGTAAGCTATTGGTAACAGACCTGAACCTGGATATAATAGTGTCCATGAGCTATGTGATAATCAAACCCACTTATTTAGGCTAAGCTGGAAAATAAACGTCTTTAGGCCTTTCTTTGTGTAATATGAGAAAAGTTTAATTTTTAAAGCTTTTTGCTTAATTTGTATAATTAGACTGGAAATTTGATCCAGGTAATTTTGGTGATACCTTATCTTGATTTTATATTTAGTGTCTATAAGTTTTTTGTTTCACTTTACCACACATTAATGCGTTTTACGTAGTCAACCAGCATTGCTCAATTTTGAAATTTACATCTCACATTAAACTGAAATGCCACTATCACACTGCTTTCATAATATGATTTAGAGCTATTTTGGGGTGACTTAAACACCCATAACCTTCTTTGCTGTGGATTGGCAAACTCATGTGGTGTTCACAGATTTCTGAATAGTAAATTATTGCTTTAATTATTTAAAATTTAAAATTATTACTAATGTTGTGAATGACCATACCAAAAAAAAAAAAAAGAAGAAGAAATTCTTGAGAATAAATAAGGTTAAAGTTGATCTTACTACCCCAACTCTCATATCGTTTGCCCCGTACCACCACCTGTGGCTGATGGAATTGGATGCTGTGTAGAGGGCTCCTGGCGAGTATGTATCTGGATACCAGATCAGCATGGTTTATGTTGGAGAAGTTGTTTTTCCTCCCATTACTACTGAAACCTATAATTTCCATTCAGCAAAATCACTGTTTCATTTTTGGCCATGCTGGGCAACATAGAATCAACGCACAGGCTATCTAACGCACAGGAATCTAACAGTAGATTCCACAACTGAGGCCCCAAATATTCTTCTCAGTTCCTGATAGTCTTTAATTTAAATTGGACCTGAAAATAAAGGTGGGTGGGAAGAAAAAAGGTAAAGTACTTTCAGAGTTGCAGTATTATCCTCTTAAGTCATAACTGGAACTTGTGGTGGAGGTGAGAATTAGTGGTCATAAGCTTTTTTTTGAGGGGGGGTGGGCTTGTGCATCATCAGCTTATGAAGGCACATAGGTTTGTTTTACAGTTAACATATATGCTAAAACTGTTAACAGAGAAAGATGTTTTTAGTACAAGTTTTTCTGCTTCTTTTAGAGTTAATTGATCACTGGGCAATAAAATCAGTCCTTTCATGATAATTAAAGGTCTCAAGAATCTACTTAGAATTAATCATCCCCTGAAATCTCTGGAAATGATGAGTGGCTATCAGGAATGCATAAGCCTGGCTTTCTAGTTGAATTTTGCCAAGGGAAATCAGAGCTACTAATATGAAAACAAACACAATAATGCATCAGCATAATAAAGATATTAACAACGATAGCTTACTCGTGCACATAGCATGTGCTCTGCCCTGGAAACTGTTCGGCGCACTTTTCTTATATTAACTCATTTCATCCTTACAGCAGTTCATGACATAGGTACCATATAATAAATTCTCCCACCTGCATTGTTGAGTTAAGAGCATTGGTTAATAATAGAATTCTGCCTTTGTGTTTAATTAGTTGCTAACTTCCTGGTTTCCAAGGCAATGTACTTCATTCCAACAGTTTCTGGTATTTGATTTTGTCTATTTTTGAAGCATTGAACAATTAATTTTGTCTCCCTGTAAAAATCTTGGGGTATTCGCACATGTCCAAAAGTTATTTTTAATTTCCTTGTTTCTTAGGATTATATTAAGTCAAATGGATCATTCATCGCAGCTATATCACATTTTCTGTGCCTGGGGTTGGAAACTTTGAAGTTAATAACTTATTTACCTGGTTCCCCTCACTGTTCACTTATATCCATGGGCTTTCCTTACAAAACCCCCAGGTTTTCAGCAGCTTAGTTTGAACTTATAGATCCACCTATACAATGAAGAACTTGCTGGGCCACTTTAAAAAAATATATACCTTGCAGTGATTGTGTCATCATTTTAACTTTTTTTATTATTGAAATTTTCAAATAAATTAAAACAGTTGAGGTAATAGTGTAGTGAACCCCCCAGCATGAATTATCAAATGGTTATCAGTCTTGTTTCTACTACTAGATTATTTCAATGCAGACCACAAAAGTATCATTTCATCGTCCTGATGGTTCATAATAAAAGAACTATTAACAAAATCCTTGCTCTCTATGGGAAAATTTGGTGCTGTTTTTTAAATGTACTACATTTAAATTAATAGCTTATAAACTACGACTTGTCTTAAATGATTTTAACTTTTTATTCTCACATACTAGCTTACTTGATCTTTTTAAGATACAATTTCAAGTACTATTTCACTGGACTGTATGCTAGCATTTAATTTCAATTAAGTTTTTATAAAGGACAAAATACTTTTCCTAAAATATAGAAAAATAGTGACACCTTATATCATTTTAACAAGTAGCCAATTAGTATCTACGCAGTAGGAATCTAAGCTACTTCAGTTTCATACTCAAATAATTGACTGCCTTAGAGTTCTGCTTTGTTTCCTGCACTCACCCCCATATCCTTAATTTCCCAAATTAATTTCACCCATTCTTCTTAGCCAAAGTGAAAACTCTGGGTTAGATGCACGCATAAGAAAGGGGGGGGGATATAATTCGCAACATCTACTTACTTAAATCTCATCACTACTTTCTACTGGCTTCTCAACCCCTTTCCTGAAGACAGACCATTCAGATTTTTTTTTTCCATTCAGACTTTAAAGAACACATCAGCTCAGAATGGGGAAGAAAGAATAGGCTATAGAAGCCCCATCCATCTTCTGTCCCACCTTCTTGTTTCAAACTGTCCAGGTGATCACGATTTCAATAGAATGACAATATTCCAACAGTCTCGATGCATTCATTTTAATTAAAGACTCTGACAAGCAGACGTGACTATCATTTGGAATTCTGCCTGTAAAATGAAAAAGGTGAAACACCTTCCAATTTTAAGTGCTGTGCCTAACATAGAGACATTTTTCACTCCTCATCTACAAAAACAAATCCTCACATTTACCAGAGCAAAGTGACTAATGCTAACCCTGAACCAAATTATAGTGATTTATATGTACTGTCGTGCAAGCTGTGATTTCATTTGGCTTTACATGGTTGGCTTTGTTCTGCATCTTTCTCTCTTCGAAGATAACATAGTTGTCTGCCAGTTAAAATCATGGTGTGGCTTAAAGGTCCTGGTACCAGGCAGTTCACAAAAGCCCTCCAGTCAGTTGGTTTCCTAGTCGTAAATAGGGAATGAGATTCTATTCTGTCTCGACCCTCTGCTCTGCCCTTGTGTTCCCAACTCCAAGCCCTAGGCATTCCTTTCCATTTCTTTCTGGTTCGTGGTCTCAGACACACTCCTTTGCCAGGAGCCTTCCAGCTGTCTTCCTCCTGATCCACAGCCTCTCTCACAAGTTCTGTGCCTTTTGAATAACTCCCACATTTTTTGGTTCGACACTAGTCAATGTATTTTGTGGCATAATTGTCTCATCTCTAGAACAGGGACAAAACCTCATTGAGAACAGTATATAACTGAATTAACTATTTTACAGGGACTGTGGAAATAGTACTTTTCTTTAAATACTGAAATTGATATATAGTGGTTAATACATAACTCACCAATCAATTCTAATCCTAATTTTAAAAAACAAAATATTGAAATTGTGCCCTTAATTTTTTTTTTTATTTTAGGCCTTCCTCGATCAAAGGGTTCTAGTCCCCTTAGCTAGATAGAACCTGAAATCATCGACATTCTGTTTTTTTTTAAGATTTATTTACTTATTCATTTATTTATGCATATGAGAGCTGAGGTATAAGCCAGAGGTGTAGGGGGGTGAGAAAATTCACCAGAGACAGAGTGGGGAGCAGAACAGGCGGATCTGCTGAAATACACTGCTGAAGGAAGCAGCAGATGAGACAGAAGAGATCTGCTGTGCCCTGTGGGTCAGCTCCCTGGCCGGGGATTGAACTTATGCTGCAGTGGCTGGTGATAGCTTAATAGCACTGAAACTTCAACCCCTGCACCACCAAGGAGGCCTCCAGACATTCTGTTCTTTAATTCTTAAAAAGATAACTTATATAGCAGCAAAAAAACTTATGTAAGGAATATTTACTAATGCACATTCTCATAAACAGATGATTTGCATTTGTCCTCTTCTTCCTTAGAAAGAAAGTCTTTAAAATCAAATTTCTAAGAATTTTAGCTACATTAAATGGAATAAGAATAAAGTGAATGTTAACTTCTCAAAATTTTCCTTTCCTCCTCTCAGATGAATCCAAGGCAGTGGAGCCATATCTCTGAAAGTGCCAAAGACCTAGTTCGCCGCATGCTTATGCTGGATCCAGCTGAAAGGATCACCGTTTATGAAGCCCTGAATCACCCATGGCTTAAGGTACAGGAGCTCACATGTGGCCATATGCATTTGTCTGGACACTGCCAGTGACAGGAATGTGTCGGTCTTTATCGTGGCCCTTTCTCCCTTTTGTTCTTTCTGAGCTGTATTTTCATTTCTCTTTTGTTCATGTCGTTTGCTGTTTCTGCACATTCTCTGCCACATGTCCTTTCTGCACATTCTCTGCCACATGTCCGTGTAAGTGACATTCAACTATCCGACAGAGAGCACAGAAGCAGATTTAGACAGCATGTATCAGGGAGGAAGGCCTCTTTGTCCTCTACGAAGCCAAAGATGTGTGACAAAGATGTGTGACGTGAGCAATTGAATAGTACTTTTATAATAAAAAAATATATTTTCTTAGATGTGACTGTGTGCTTTAGCACATTATTTTTATTTCAACAGATATTAAATATGTGGTTTTTGTCTTAGATAAAAGGCAGGGTTTTTAAAATTTTTCTCCCCCCTGGCCCCCACCTTGCTAATGAGTAGTAAGGAGAAGTATCACTTGGGGCTTCAATGAAACAGTAGTATTTGGTGAAGACTTTACACATTTCAATAATTCCAGGAAATTCCCACTTTGTGATGAAAAAACAAAAGCTCAGAGAGCTTAAGAATCTTGCTCCAAGTCACAGAAGTTGTCAATAGTGGAAACAGGATTTTAATTCAGCCTGTCATTTGTATGAGACACCCCATCCATTTCACTTACTCAAGGACATTCTCCAACAGTTTTCTTTTTCCTGCTCTATCAGTTGCCTATTCCGTTGAATCCAACATGCTGCAATTTATTTTTATTATATATACACATCATCTCTCTTTTTTGAAATTTATTTTTGTATGGAAGATCTGGGTTATAGGCCAGAGGTACAGGGTGAGGTGGTGGGTAGAGGATTCACCAGAGTGCAGAGCAGGAGGATTGATCGAAGTACACAGTGCTGAGGCTTAAGCCCGTGTACCACCAGGGAAGCCTTTGACCCTACAAATCTTAAAACCCCTTAAGCATCTTCTCCTATTTTCTGTTCCATTTGGCAGCAGAATTCGTAGAAAGAGTTGCCTCTACTCATTTTCTCCAGTTTCTCTCATCCACTTGCTCGAGCCCACCCTAGTCAGGATTGCATCCCTACCAATTCCACTAAAACTGCTTTTGTCAAACTACTGATGACCCTTACATTGCTCATTATGTTATAGGGCACCTCAATTCAGAGAGAGGCACCCCTGAAGCCCCAAAACCTGCCTGCTCTAAGTGGGTTCTGCCATCCGCCGCAACAAGACAAAACATATAAAGCTTTAATGAAAAGTGACTTTAATACAGTGAATATACAATATGGAACACAAAGAATGTAACTTCTAAATCAAACACCTGAAGTTACCCATCCCCTCGTTGGCAAAAGTCAACCCAAAAGGGATTGGCCCAAAGCAAGGCCTGAAAGCCTGCCACAAGACTAAAGCACCTTCTGGCTGGGACCCATGGAAAAGGGTCAGAAATGGCCAGACAAATCTGAGAGGAAAAGAGCAAAATCAAAATCAATATAAACACTGCCATAGTCACCTCCCTACAGGTATCTCACCCACATCTGCCTTAACCAGTCCAGGGTCAGGAAACAAGCCCGGTTTCTTCATCACATGTTTGCTGCTCCATGTGGCTTCCTTAGGTCTCCTTCTCCATCTGTCTTCCTTCTCTCTTCTCTCTCCTTTTTCTCTGCTCAGTTCCACCCTCCTTCTGGGTGGGGCAGGGAACCTGGAACTTCCCTTCTCCTAGGGACCACCCAGTTACAATTATAGTGGTCGGATCACAAGTTTTCACCCTATTGGCAACATTTGACATCCATCCCCCTGACACCCCTTCTCCTTGGCCCCAGGTCACACCACCCCTCCGGATTTCTGTCCTACCTTCTGCCTTCTTCCCAGAGCCTACTGATTCTTCCTTGTCTCTCCACATCCACCCCTACACTGCTCCTCTTTTTTCTGTTGACATTCGGGCCTTTGGAAACTTCATCTGGTTTTAGTGACTTTTGATGCTTTCTGTCTACCAGTGACTCCCCAATTTATACATTCAGCTTATTCCCTCACCATCCTCAGGTCTTTGCTTAGATATCAGCCTCTTAGTAAGATCTGCCCTAACCACCCAATTTCAGTTTGGAGAAGGAATGGTCCCGAGACAGCATTCCCTATCCCTCTTACCTGCTTAGTTTTCTCCATCACCTTTGTCGCCAAAAGACATACTTATATTTTACTTGTTTGTTGTCTGACTGCCCACAATGAAATATACGCTGCCTAAGGATAGGAATTGTTGACTGTCGCTTCTGTGTCATACCCTAGTAAGTGTCTGGTATGTATTAAGTACTTGTGGGGGGCCTTGACCAGGAAGGCGAGGGAGTTTAGAGCCCCAGGGACAGCAGAGGAAAAACGCGGACATGTCTTTCTCTGAGGAGAGCTTTTATTCTTCTTCCTCTTTCTTGTTACAGTCATAGATAGATAGAGCATGAGGGCGGTACAGAAGGTACCGGGCGTGGGGTGGTCTTGATGGTTTGATGTCTCAAAGGCCAATGGGGTTGAGGGGAGGGCGACACTTATCTCCGGAGCCAGAGATAAAACCTATCTCAGGCGCTGGAACTTGTGAGCTCGAAGGGAAAAGGAGTGGGGGAAGGGATTCGGGTGTGCTGTTTTCTCAACCGGGATGTTTACCCTAAGTTCCGATCAAGTGCTGTTTTGTGCATAGGAGGCAAGGTCCTGGTCTCGGTCCCCACAAGTGCTCAAATACTAGTTTTGACTGAGTGAATATTCATTATATTATACCATGCTACTCTCCCAGAGATTATGTAAAACAAAGATTTAATAAAACATAGATTAATAATGTATCTGAGTGACAATGATATGGAATATTACAGAACAGTGTTGAAACTCTACTCCATCTTATTTTTGGAAATCCCTGTCCCTGCCAATGATTATAGCTCTAAATAATCTGAGATTAATACATAATAGATTTCTGGCACCAGAAACATGAAAGACAAGAAAAGTCAATAAAAGTTCCAGAAGGCTGTTCCAGCTCAGTGCCATGTGCAATATCTGCACCTCAGTTTGCCACTCCTCTGCAAGAATTTCACTTCTCAAATTTGCAAGATACAAGAATTCAGTGAGAATGTTATATAGATAATAAGAACAGGCTTATGTTGAATTTAAATACTTACCCATATTTAAATCATTGTTATGTATCCAAGTAGAAATACTTTAGTAATGGCTAAAATGTAAATTATGATTTAAATAAGAAAAACTGAGTAATTGCAAAGTAAAATGTAAAGTAAGATAATGAAAAGCCTTGTGATAAGCAGTGTCCCAAATCATAATATCAATGCTTTGTGTGAAGAAAAAATGTTTTCTTGGTAAAAACCACAAAAATATTTTCCTATTAAATCGTTTTATATCAAGAAAGACTTTAGTAAATAGATCAGTAATTGGCGGCTCTCTTGTGATTGTTAGATTATACCTATTTAACACCGTTATTGATCTAAGTTAATGATATTTGTTGTGCATAATCATGCCAACTAAGGTTCTACTTTTCTCATAAACAACTGAGCTCTCGTCACATCCTTTGTAGACATAATATATGTAGACCTTAAATTATATTTACTGTAATAAAACATGAAAAGGTATTTCTATCAGGCTAATGCATTTGATTTTTGGAAAAATCAATCACCACGCCAGTTAAATTTGTATTCAGCCTCTAAAGTGCAAAAGGGTGATAAACCAAGTACTTTATTAAAGTGCAAGGCACAGTGCTATTAAAATTTTTCCCAATGCATATTACATTATTATCAGTTTCAGGTAAGACTACTTAATGCAGAAAAAAATATCATTTTTGTTCTCTTGTCTCATTTAGAATGCTTTGGAGTTTGTTATTATTTATTTATTTTCTGGTAAGAGATTATTTAATAGACTTTAAAAGTCTTGTCATTCCATCTGCTTAAAAAATATCAAAACTCATAATTTTATTAAAAACTAACCATACGTTTTGGCAGTGCCCTGACTTTCTCTCCACTTTACCTTAGTGAATGATAAGGTGTTCCCTAGAAAGACCTTCAGCTATGTACTAAATTTCCCAAGCTGTTAGACAGGTCAGTCTGTGAAATAAATTTTCTTTTTTTTTTTAACGTTTTATTTATTTATGCATATGAGAACTGGGATACAAACCAGAGGTGGGGGGGGGGGGTGTGTGTGAAAGGATTCACCAGAGACAATGGGGAGCAGATGGACAGATTGAGTGAAACACACTGCTGAGGGGAGTAGCAGGCAAGATAGCAGAAGTCTGCTGTGCCATGCTGGTCACCTCCCTGGCCAGGAATCAAACTCCTGCTGCAGTGGCTGTGGAGAGCTTCACAGTGCTGTGCCTTAACCCATTTATCCACCAGGGAGGGATGCGTGAAATGAATTCTCAAGTGCTACTGATATAAAGGCAAAAAGTATAGCCTCAAAGATTTTAGAGAACCACCAAAAAGACTAGAGATGTATAACTCAGGAAGACGAAAGAAGAAAGAGAGAGATGGCGATAGGTCGGAGCTCCTGAGAAGGCTGCATACTTTAGTGGTACTGACAGGTAAAATAGAGGGGGAACACAGGCAAACAATTAACGTGCGCAGGGCATGTGGGGGCGGGGGCAGGGGCAGGAAGCAAACTGGTGTGATGCAAATGTCAGCTAACTGAATTAGTATCAGTAGTAGACTGGAAAGTTTGGTTTGAGGGAAGGTATATATAGGTGAGAATGCCAAATTAAGTACTTCAAATATTGACGTGTAAAAGGGAAAAACTACTGCAAGTTTTTGAGTGATGAAACAGTGTAAGAGGCGTGTTCATAGCATTCCTTTGTACACTATGTGCTGGTGAGTTGCCTGTGAGAATACAAACGGTAGAGACAGAGACCCCCTAGAAGCTATCACTATTCCAACCAGGAGAGCTGGTCCAGAGAATAAAAGTGGGAGTAAGAAAGAAATACCAGACTAAGAGGA